GCATTCCACTTGTGGTCACATAAGTGAACTTTCAATTTAAAGTTACAACCCATACCAGCTTAGGTCAAACTTAAATTTATCAATGTGAAGTCTTCATTCCGCAAAAAAAGGGTTGTATTACCTTTCAAACGCATGCCTTTTGAAATGGATCATTAGTAGTCATTCATATAAATAAACCTGAAGTTTCACCTCTTTTTAAATACAATTTCTTACAGCTGCATATTAGCTTCTCTTTCACTGGATCATCACTAATCTTGAATTGTTTTACCATTTTAAAAGGTCTGGAATTAATTTAGTTACAAAATTAGTATGGAAAATCTTTCATTAATGTCATTGAAATGATACCGGTACCTTTCATGGCAGAAGAGACATGTTCTTAAGTACTGCTTAGAGCGAACTTGTTTAAAAATTACTTCACACTGTGATAATCTTTCTCATCACTTTCTCTTTTTCATATATCCTTTGTAATCATAAAGTGCATCAATACATGATATTTGTGTGATAAATTTTAAACTGTCTTTATATAGTGGAGCCCTTCAGGAGATAGATATATATATATATATAATGTTTTTTTGGTCTTCATTTGTATTGTGCTAATGACTTTGGAATTTAAAGGTCAGTGTAAAGCACAGTATGTTGGCTGAAGGAGCCCATGCAATTTTAATACTCCTTAGCAGGCTGGTAAAAAGAGCAGTCTTTAACAGTATGCATGTTCTGTGGGAGTTACTGGTTTGTGAAGTGCAGACACTGAAGAAAGAATACCAGTGGACTGGAAAGTTGTTAGCGCCTAATGATATCCTGCAGTTAGATAAATGCCAAGACAAACAGACCATGCTTATTTCCAAGCTAGGATAAATTGATTTTGTGATAATTTCTTACTTGATGAATTATAAATAATATCTTCTGTCAATGTGATTATTTTCTCCTGCTATTCATGTAACAGCTTGTCTTTAGTAACTTTTTCAGTGCACTCACTTTTGCTCTGAGAAAAGTTTGTGCATAATGAGAAAGTATATAGTAATGAACTGTAGTTTAAAAAACTGTTTTCTGTGGGTGGATTTTTGTTTTCCTCTTTTTTCTTTCTCCCTCCTTCAATTAAATCCAGCATTAAACAACCTAAAAATAACAAGATATTTAGGGGAGTGGGTTGGTTGTTTGGATTTTTAAAGAGATACTCTCAGGGTATCTAGGGACCAGTGTTCTCCATTGGTGTTGGGTGTAAGCTTAAATCTAAAACACTGCATTGCATTTTGTTAAGGTTTTTCAGAAAAGATGCACGTTGCAAATGTCAGCATATTGTAACGCAGAAGTAAAATGAAAATTGCCTAGAGAATTTTAATTGATTAGAATTGTGGCACATGGGAAATAAGATTAGAAGTTACTGTTTTCTTCTTTTAATAATCTGGTGTTAAGCACAGAACTGCCCAAACGAATATAGTTTTACCTCCCGCCTAATTTCGTTGCATCTTTTTCTTTCTTGTTCTTGCAGAATAATAGAATATATTGTTTGATATAAAGTACGAGTGTTTGGTCTGTCTCACAGCTCTTAATGAGTTATCTTTGCAGGGAAGAGAGATAACTTAAAAGAATTTAAATCCTCCATTTCATGAAATGACACGCTTTGAACTTTTTTTTTTATGTGTGTGTCTGATCTTTCCAGCAAGCTGAATTTGACCTAGTTAAACTGACTTTGTCAACTTAGAGTTTTAGAGCACTCTTACCTGCCCTGATTAAAACAAGTACAGCATCGTCAGTTTGACAGCAAGCTCCCCATCAATGCTGCCTTACCAATATATCTAGTTTGTTTTGTTGAAGCTACTACCTGCCATGTTATACTTTATGTAAACTGAAGTTGTATTGATAGTGCTTTGGGTACGTTTACTAGAAATTCAGCAGAGAGAACCGGTGTCGATAAGTTAATCAGTGGCAACTGCTAACTGGACCATGTCTTAAGTGATGGTATATAGAAGGGTTTCCTCTTAACTTAGTCATCCAGTGTTGTGCTCCAGAGGGCAAAAGCACCTTGATTTGCTATCTCTTAAAGTTTTTTTTTGTTTACTTTTTTGTGCTGACATGTTGAAGAGTGTTTTGTTTTTAGATGGAGATGATGGAAACTGGTCCGTAGCTGTTGTTAGCTTACCACATATCAGGTCTTTTCCTGTGGTGCTATGTAATGAAAAATTTCATCGTTATTTGTTTAATAATGCGAATGCAGTAAGGAGAGAACCCATCTCTGGCTGAATGCATTGAGGAAACAATTAAATTGATCTCCTAAATTCTGCTTTGTTACTCCCAATTCCTTTTTTTTTCAGATAAAATCCCCATTTTGTGCTTTTCATAGTGCTGGAATTAAGCTAAAAATAGGTTTTTAGAAAGGCTATAGTAAATGTCACTGAACTATGCTTGTCTGGTTCTTCTCATCTAGGAGTAGGTTTTTCCTCTGTTCCCCATATGTCCTTTACCTACATATATGTCATTTAGTTTATTTAAATAAATGTGCAGGAAAAAATACAATTCAATGGTAGTCCACTATAAACTCCAAAGTTTAATATAGTGGAATTGTAGTGAATCTTATTTAAAATAAAGATGTTATTCTCATAACAGGTCTACACACAGATTATGCAGATTCAACTTACTTTCTTCCTAGTACTTCCTGTGATGACTGATTTTGAGATATGACCAGAAATCGAGTGTAATGCTTTGGCAATGCTGTAAATGAACATGGTTTACTAGTGATAGAGCTGTAGCTTTTTTTTGGACAGTCTGAAATAGTGCTATATCAGAACAGAATAGTTCCATCTTCCTTCTTTTGTTGATTAAATGTGTGTGTATCTGTAATAGAAACCTTACAAGATCTGTCAGGTAACAGGAGAATTTAATATGTACAAAACCAAGATAGTTGATACTGCCATCCTTTCAGGAGTGAATAGTGAAGGGTTTTTAACTATGGAGGGAGGAAAGAATATGTGAGAATTCTTGTGCTTTATTTTGGAATTTAAATGCCCAGACTCTTCTTCCTCTTAAGTAAATAATTTAACTCTATAAACATCAACAATATGAACTTAAAAATGCTTTCAGCAGACTCTAGTAGTAAAATAACAATTCCTCAGCGAAAGATTTTTATAGGCAGCATTATTTCAACTGTTACCTTTGAGAAAGTTGGGATTGCCATACTGATTTCCATTAGCGCACCGTATGCACGTTAAATACACCAAGATGAGTGGAGTGTACCTGTGCCAGGTACAATATGTGAAATTATGTCTAGTGTAACCCAGATACCGACAGTACTGTTTTTATTTCAGTCACAGTGTGGATGGGGCAACTGGTTTGGTTTTCAAGAAAATTCTAACACTCCACTTAAATTTTAGTTTTCGTGCCCAGTTGGCATCTGTACCTTAGACATACATAGTGTCAGACTTGCATCTGAGTTGCATGCTGTGTTTGGAAAAAATACTGCATTTTTTTGAACAACAATATCATTTTCATTCTCATTTGCCAAGTAACACTGAACTTGATCAGAAACTGTAGTCAGCTGATTGTGTCATAGCCTTGTGCGGGTTTAAATCATTCAGTCTGTAGTAAAACTTGCCTGAGTTACTTTCAGGTAAATATCTGATTAATTGTAAGTTCCCTGTGGATTGGTGTAGCCCAGAGTTTTGTTTGTTTTAAAATAAATACATTTAAGAAAAAAATTCTATGCTTCAATGGATTTTTCAGATAAGGACTGAAGCAAGTCCTTATAAATAGCAGAGTTCATAAACCGTGGGTAGGAGTCTCTGTGCATTAAGGTATAAATTTGAAGCTGTGCATCATCGAAGGTATGTTGGGAGGGTTCCAGCATATTTCGGTTAATAACTTCTCTTACTCTGGAGTCCAGACTGACCTGCATATTAAAATACAAAGTCACGTAAATAATAGTGGTGAATAATACATATGGGGTTTTAGGTTTGTTTTACTGGTTGAAAAAGCAGTCTTATTTAACCATTTCAGCTTGTGTCCTTCAAGAGTGTAAAAAAAAAAAAAAAAACCAAACAACCTGCTAAATAGGCAAAACATGACTGTGTGTGAAATTTGGAAGTAGTAATATCTTGAGTGTGGATAGAGAAGTGTTCTCACTGAGGTGACCTCACTTTGAACAAGGCTGCCTGCCATCCTGTTACTACTGAAACCTGAGAGACTGGTGGACTATTTCCAGGCCAGCTTCCTGCTCTGTAGTGGGGAGGGTTTGTAATTTTTTGTGACAGTTCATTTCCTTGGGAGTTAGTGGTCTTGTAAAGAGGCTGAATTTGGAGTGAGCAGTATGATGCAGACGGAAACTGTAACCTGGGAAGCTGTTGTTCAGTCAAGTTCCTGTTAAAAAGTAGGGTGAATAGATGCAAGCCATGGGTATGTATGGCTATATAATGATTCCATACAACATACAAGTAACATAATTTTTTTTTCTGCAAGGCTCTAGCGTATGTAGGAAGATAGTAGTATTACTGGAATAGTGACTAGATTTAAATGGCACTTTTAGAAGTACATAAGTATAGCCTGCACCGCAAACAATTAAGTTTGAGTTTTGCAAGGATGTTGGAAAGTTTAAAGTCCCAGCCAGCTTGTCAGGATTATATTCAAACTGAACTGAAGTGTCTTCGAAACTTGACATATTTGCTAACAGCAAAGTGACAAGTAGTTTTAAAAATTTTCAGGAAGTCAGTGTGTGTGCTTTATGCAATCTTTTGTCAGCTGCTCTTTGAGCAATTCGTGCTTTGCAAATCACACTTTGTGGTTACTGTGCTTTTGGAGAGATACACCCACCCCCTTCCTAGTGCAAAATAAAGAAACTGATTTGTCCAACAGAGGATAAAGTCACCATTTGTATATTTGTGCCTCAAGCTAAAGACTTCACTGCAGCATGCTAGGGTAGCACAGGAAGAGGTTTCTTACAGGCAGCGAAAGTAGTTTTGACCATCTCACCTCAATGATGGGTCTGACTATTTTCCCCTAAATCTCTATTTGATGGCAGGGGAATGTGGGAGGGGAGAAGTTCTCCCTGGGTATTGTAGCGTTAAACACAGGTTAGAACTAACTGTGCAAAGCAGCATCAAAGAATGTATTGAGGAAAGTAATATACCTCTTTTGGAGAAAGGATAGAAATATAATCTTCATAAATTAGTCTTGCTTTTTCTTCAATGACACTTTTGTTGGATTCTTGTTTTAGTTCCTCACAGGCCATCCAGAAAAGCATGTTTTCCTCACTGAATTCTGTTCGTAGAAATTCACGAAAAGCATTTCTGCCAGCTGGAGTAAGCATCAACTTGTCAAATGATTGAGCCCAGGCATTTACTTCTTCAAGAGTAGGAGCAGGGCTTGAGGAGGAAGGAGAAGACAAGAGGAGAGAAATGAATGATTGTTACTCAAGGTGTTTGCGGCTGGTGGGAGGCATCTGCTGTCACAACGGAACAAAATTGCAAGGTTCATGGGGCTCTTATTCCTCACTGAAACTACCCAAGTGCAAACTCTAGTAAACATACTTACAAGATGGCACTTTGAAAGTGTGCTTATCAAAAGCTCTTGTGCAGATGATTGGCAGTGCTTTGATGCAGAAATTGCAACAGAGAAGTCCCTCTGCAACAGCTAAGCATTTTTCTATACCTAATAGTCCTTGTTGAATCATTGGTAAAAGTTGAATGAAAATATATGGAAACAAGCAATGATTCAAACCCCATAGAAGATACCCTCCTGTCTATTGCAGTTTTACAGGTGCTTCTACCTGTTTGAGCAACTCAGAGTTGCCGTACTCTTGGGAGGATCTGAGCTCCTCTTTATTTTTATAAGGCTGAGCACTGCTAGCTAGCTTCATAGTTGCTGGGTGGGAACAGGATGTATTTAAAAATTATTTCAGAGAAGAGGGAGACTGTTTACAATGCTGTTTTTGATCTGCCTTGTTATGAAAATGGGGATGTGGTTACATGCTGCATACAAATAAGGTAAAAGATTATAGATCAGATCTTTGGTTCCTTAAGAGGTAAGAGACAGATAACTGCAAATTCAGCATAAATGACAAATAGATAATACTAGTTATCTGCATATTTCAGGTAATTCACTTCAATCATTTAGTATGGTTTGTTGGATTTGTTTCATTTTAGCTTGACAGAACACTTTTAAAGACCATACCTTTCCTCACAGTTTGGAATACCCTCTGCTTGGAGTTCATGAGATGTTCTCCTTGCTCTCTCTTCGTCTTGATTTCTAACAGTAAGACTGCAAGGTAGCAAACAAAATTTTAGTCAACTTCGATAGAGGAGAACGCTGAATGTACACCAGCTGCTTTTCCTCCAATATTTAGAAAAATAATCAGCGAAAAGGACAGAAGCTAACGGTAGCCACATTACTCTGCCATTAATTTTACAGTTGTATAAACGTGGCAAACTTTAATGTAGCTGAACACTGTTCAATATTGTATCACATAGACTTTCTCTACAGGGATCATAGATTAATAGAATATCTTGAGTTGGAAGGGACCCATAAGGATCATCGAGCCTGATTTCCTGTACATATATGTGCATGTGTGTATATATATGTAGGATGTAGGTTTACACACAAGTACCCTTTATTACATACCAGACTTATTCTCCATGGACGCTTATTATACTGTGTATGCTTGATGCAGTGTTTTTACTTAAGTTCGACTGGATGCACTTGATTTTATATGAGTTAGATTTCAAGTTTGGTTGGATTGGGTTTTGTGGGGTTTTTTTTTTCCTCTCCATGGCTATTTTATATCCGTAGGGCATGATGAGGGCCACTTCTCTATGTGTTGTTGGAAGTGTAAGCATCTTTCAGAGTTCAGATGTAGATACAGCCAGATTGTGTGGTAATTGATTGCAGCTTTACAAAAGTGCTTGTATGTGCTTCAAAATACGAGGACTGGAGCACAAAGAGCAAATATGTCATTGCTGAATATCGTTTCCAGTATGTCTGACTGGAAACGAGTATTAGCTTGTTTGTAGCATTACAAAAAAAAAAAAAATTGCCACAATCACTAGTGATCACAGAGAGAGTTTTTCATGTCCCATGGAAGGGTAGCTGTCAACTCCTGCTGCTTTCATCAAATATTAAATAACTCTAGTTTTTAAAAATTCCTTTTGTAGTTGCAGAAGATTCTTTTTCATTTGAGACTGGATTTGACAATATACATATTTCTTTTTAGGGAATTGGAACTACATTCCAGTTCATAGACTATCATAGTTTAGTGAGAAACGCATGTGCGTACACACACATTCATATAATCTGTAAAGCCACTTAAAATTTGTCAAGAAGAAAAGGTCTTGATGAGTTGTAACACGTAATTTATATGAAACAGGTCCTCCAGGTGAAATAAAGCAATACAGTTGCTTTAGGAAACTTCTAGGAAAATATCAAACTTAATTTCTTCATTTGTATCTTACCTTCCTTTTAGTGCTAATGTAGTAACAGTTTTGTTGCCTTAATCCTTAAGAACCTCATTTATCTCTAGTAATTTGTGTTAAAACAGTTGATTTTTCTGTCCTTTCTGCCTTTTAAACTCATGGTTTTGTCTTACTTGCAGCCTTACTATTTACTGGTTACTCCTTCTCTGGCTTTCTCTAGTGTTAGTCCATAATCTGTAGAGACCTGCTTTTTTCTTTGCCAAGGCAATGCCATGCACTGAAGAGGTAGGGAAGTTTTCCTGTTGCTAAGCTGAAGAGCAGTTATTGCAAACACACTTTTTTTTTCTGCAACATCTGAACCATACATCCAAACCAATGACCTATTTCAGTTCACCTTTTCAGGAAAAAAAATAGTTAGTTAGTTCTCTATTCTTTTGGGATGTATAGGTCTCAATCCTTTACTACTCTTTTTACCAGTTATTCTGGCCTTTTTTTTAATATGAGGAGTGATATATTATGTATTCCTCACACACAGACAAGAAGTGATATGCTTGTCAGAGTTATTTTTGGATTGAGGGGAACCAATATCCAACAGAAAGGATTATAGTCTTCATAGGATAATGCACAAAAGGGGAAAAAGGCAAAAGAAGTAACAAAAGCTTACTTAAGAGAACATGCCATGCCTCAGAAAATGACTTGCAGGCAGGCTCTTTGCCTAGAAATGTACAGGTAAACAAAAATAAGACTAGTGCAATACTGCATCTTCTCAGGATCTGAAAGAGTAACTGGCTGGAGGCTTGAGTCTTGGTTGTAGGAAAGAAAACAAGCTCTTGAGCATCCAGCTGAGAGACTCATTTTGCTATTTCTTCATATTGGATGTTCAGCATCTCAGCTGCATGACTCATGTAGACTGTTATTTTTATTCCTATTCATAATTTTTCTGTTCAAAGTACTTGAGCTATTTTGAGGAAAGGCTGTATGAATAGGACTATAAATAGCTTAATTATGGTTTGTTTTGCATTTCTTGCTACTAGAAAACAATTGTTCTCAAAAAAATCAGAAATTATTTTAAAGCTAAAGCAAGCTGCTCTGTTTTGGAGCCTTTACTGGTTTCCTAGATGAGTCTGAAATGCAAATAGGAATTTTAAGCATCATGAAATCTGAATGCTTTCACACACCCTATCGAGTAAATTGCTTTCTTTGAATTGTTTGAATAATGAGGTGCACAGAAAATGAGCATCCTGGAAAATATCAGGTAAAATGGCAAAAAAGCACTTTATCAACAATTTTGAAGTTAAATGCAAATTTTATGTACTCCAACGTAGTAATGTGCCTTATTTTTTCCTTTCTTGGAAAGACATGCGTGTTTGTGTAATATGCGGCCCTAGACTGGGCCACTTGTGATTGCGCTGGACAGCTGTTCAGATGACACTGGAATTTGTGTGGTGATGCTTTAACATAGATGCTGTTCTGCAAGGCCACAAACTGGTCCTGTACAGGCACAGCACTTGCTGCCTCTTTAATCTCTACCTTAGTTTACCTCTAAGCACCTGCTGAAAAGCTTGGTGGGATCAGAGCTAGAGTACTTGGCATCATCCAAAAAAATCCAAGCTGCCTTTTGTCCTTACAAATACTCATTATTTCCATAAGAGAGGGCAGAATTGGGTACCTCCTGATGAGCGAGTACCAATAGCAGCGGAATGATAACCTGCTCATCCCTTGCCTTCTACTGGTGTTCTCCAAAGCATTTGCTACCAGCTGCTCTTGGGGGGGAAAAAAAAAATAATAAAATGGTGGAATAGATTCCTAGCCTAGGCTGTAGGGTTATTTATGACTTCTTCCCTTCACCTCAGTGCCAGGTTTGCTTGCTCTGAAGTGTTTTTTATGGTGGTTAGTGCATTTATAAGAAGCAGTCAGGTTGCTGTCAATGTTTTGGTTGAACTCCTGTGTATGTTTAAGACTTATTTTTCTTTGTTTCAATGCAAGTTTTGGTCTCACCCATTAATTAACACTCGGCCCCAAACAGATACAGGACTTCTGAGTATATGAAGCTTTACTTCGGTTTTGAATGAAACCACTTGGATCTGGAGAGGTTGGTAAGAGAGAGAAGGTGAACACATCATTAGCTTAAGGCATTGAGTGATTCCTTTTACAGTTTTGCTTTGCTTCCCTGATAAATTTTCCTCTTTAACACCTTGTAATGGGAGTTCTTCTGAACTACCTTGTTTTTAGCTCATCTTCAGCAAATACCTGTGATGTTTGAAGTCTCTGATCCTAAGGATTAACTTCATATGAGTTGCAGGTGCCATGAATTGGCAACACTAATTAATGACAACAGATCCAGTAGCCTCCAAAACAAAAGAACAGTGCTGGGCACCTGATGATTCATTTTCTGACCTACAAATTCTTCCACTTAGTCCTAACTCCATTTAACACAGTCTTTGCTGCTTGTTAAGTCCCAGTCCTAAATCTAAAGCTGTGACATGTTCTAGTATTGCTTTCAGTTTTTAGTGGAAGCTCTGGTGAAGCTTGAGGCTGAGGAGAACCAGTCCTGCACGAAACAGACCTTCCACTACACAGTATTAACAACAAAAGTACAACAGAGATACTGTACAGAGATATAAAAAAAAAATCTGTTCTTTCAATGGCAGAAAAAAAAAAAAGAGTAAACTGGAGTAGAAGGTTGCGTCTAGTACTAGAGCACTGTCTTTTCTCTTAGTCCCAGATTTGCAGAATTACTCTGGTGGTTTGTTTGGCTTCTGCTGTCCTATACACTGGCTATTGCCTCCTTCCCCTGCTATTCTGTTCCCCAGAGGCTTGAATGAGAGGGGTTACCATGAGCAGCTGCAGCAACAGCACCAGCAAAAGCAGCAGGCATTGGACCCTCGATTTCCCGTGCTGTGCTGAGCCAGTGCAGCGCCTGGTGTCTCCGGGGTCGTAGACATCTGCCGTTTGCGCATCTCCATCCGCTCTGATCCCATGGGCTGCAAGACAGCAAGAGAAGGTGGGAGTAAGAAATGTATCTCCCTTCTTTTTTCCTTTTCTTTGCTTTAAAAATTTTACCAAGAACTGCTGAAGGCCATAGCTCCAATGGAACTGAAGAGCTAAACACTTGGTTTTTCCCCACAGAAGCTCTTCGGTATTGAATCCTTTGGAAGATTCACTCATTTTATTGAAGTGCTGTGATGGAAGGCAAAGGGCTAATTAATTCTGTACATGGGTGGGAACACAACGAGAGGAGAGTGGTGATGGAGAGAGCAAAAGGTGGAAGTGAGGGGTCTCTGAGAGCTCTTAGCACAGTGGCATATAAGCCTAGGAGTTGAAGAGGGTTTCCTGAGGTCTGGACTTCAAGGCCAGTCCTAAAGAAAATAGTACAGAAGAGAGGTAGTTAAAGCCTCTTTCTTTCTTGTCTGTCTTTTCGCTCTTTCTCTTGATCAGCCAATGCACAGGCTTAGTGATGCTTGAGTAAGACACCTGAGCTCTCCTGAAAATCTGGCCATCGGTGAGTATTGAGGATGTCTCAAACCTGCTGGTCACCCTGTAGCAAAGGGGAAGGACCAGTGCTTCTCTGTCCATTACAGGTCTGACTGCCACAGCTATTTTTAAAATAATTTTTCTCTCAAGAAGGAATCGAAGTGCTTCTGTGAAGATGAGATGAGTTATTGCTAACAGATAAAACACATGACTGGATGTTAATATTTAATGTGCAGGTTTTTGGTCACCTCCCCCAACTGAAGACATCATGAAACAATTTTTGGTGAGAGCACTAGTTGTGGTTTTTGCACGGTTCTAGGAAACCTTTTTGGAGCCTGAATTCTGCAGATTGTGCAGAGAAGTGGTGTTAATGAAATTACAAGTACCCTTGAAGTCCCTGTCCCTTTCTGACCTGTCTCTCCATGAGCTTCAGACTTGCTTTACAGCACTTAATAATGCTCTCCCTGTTTTGCTGAGGGTTGTGCCCTAGTGACAGATGTCTCATAGATGAAATGCTAGCTTGTACAAAGATGAGTACGTCTGTCTTCGTTTTGATAGTATTTGATTTTTTGATACATAACTAGTCATCCCCCTGTGTCATCATATCCCTTGGTATGTAGGTTTTTTCAGGTTGCTAAACCTTCTTTTGAGGCCCTGACAATTGTAGGGAAATTAAAATTAGCTGCTACCAATTTTGAGTTCTTGTTTTTAATTGGTAATTGAATACTGGACTTGAAACATAATCTAATGAGCTGAATACTGGAGTTGCCTTCCTTTCTAAAATGTTCTGCCAGGTTTAGGAAATACTGTTGTAACGTGTAACAATGCACAGACTTTCATGGACTCAACAGAAGTGTCAGGAGAAGAAAGGAGATTATTTTGGCAGAGTGCAGCATTACATTTTGTTGGATTTTTTTTTTTTATGCTGAATTTGTTTCTCTCTTAGAGCTTAATAGTTTTTATTTTTATGAGAACCACCCACTCTCCCCAGAGAAAAATGCACGACATGTTCAGCAGAAGATGCACCTGTTTTGCAGGAGGAATAAAATACAAGAAAAACAATACCGAGAGAAATGATAACCCATTTTGTAACTCTGTAGACCTAATCTGACAAGCAATGCCTAAATGCCCAGAAATAGAAAATCAGAAAAAGAACATACCTTCCAAAACCCCCACAACCTTTCTTTTTTCAGAATGTGGAAGAATAAATGTGAAATGTAGAATACATTTGTAGATTCAGATTTCTTTCCTTCAGAGTTTCAGACTTGCAGAAATAGAACGAAGCCCTAAGTATTAATTTCCTTCCAGATACTCTATTTTAAAAAATATAGGTATCTTCATATTGCAATTAGAAAGTGATAGCATATAAAGCATTATTGGAATGATAATATATCTAACAATATTTCAGGCTGCTTTGGACGGTAAACAATTACTGATTAGAAAAGTGTAACTTGGATTCAGATATATGCAGTTTATATAGCCTACCCCGTCCACTCTTACTTTTGAGATGTTTTATGCGGATAGTTCGCACATTCATATCTCTAATCCGTATTACAATTGAACTGACAATGGTCCAGGTAGAAAGGCTTGTTCCTGTTTGTTTGCTTTTTCCCAAGGAGAAAGGTAAAGGACGGCAGAAGTAGGAAGAATACACTCTTCCTCCCCACCTCCTCCCACTGTGGCTTAATACAAGAGATCTTTCTGGATCCGTTTTTAGCATTTCAGGTTCTTCAGAATTGTTCTTTGACATGTTTAATGAAAGGGAAGAGTATGTAAGTAGCTGTAGGGCAAAAACTGCCCCGTAGCATTGTGTCTTGGTTTCACTTCTGGATCATACACCTTACCTAGAAGTTTTCTGGTACTATAGGTTTTTCTGAATGTTCATCATTGCGTGATTTCTCACACAGTTTACAGAAGATGAAGGATTGAGCAACACAAAAATTCAAGACACTTTTTTCAGATTAAATTACACATTTTCACTTTTATTCAGCAGATGTGTACCAGCTTTCTCATTGAATAAGCAAGTAGGTTTTGGTCATTTATGTGATGAAGATTTGTTTTGAAAGATATTTTTAGCAGATAAAGCACGCTTTCATGATAGTAGATCTGTATTAGAGTAATGGGAAATAAGAGAAGGAGGACTGGAATATATCTGTTGGCTTAAAGACACCCCAAGCTTTTGAATTACCGAGCTGTTTGGTGATTATTGTGCATGTATTTCCTATGGCAACTGATGGTCATATTGTATGTTTGATAGAGGTTTAGAGTGGATCACGGACTAATTGGGGTGTGGCTCTCTGTGGTGTATTAGGAATACTGTGGTAGGATGCAAGAAGTAATTTATTCCTTTGTGCGAGTACTAAGGGTATCACTTTCCAAGACAGATAGAGCATCTATCTAAACATCTAACAAGATGTTTAGAAAGCATGATATACACAGAAAAATTGTAGGAGTTTGGGTTGTTAATCTAGAAAGGGGAACTGTGAAACATACTGATTTTCTGATCGGTAAGAGGTTGTGATGTTCTGTTCTGTATTTCTTTCAGAGATAAATAATGAGTTAGCTTGGGCTAAATAAAATCTACGCTCAATTTTACAGGATGGCAAGGTAGAACGCTTGAGCAGTGGTGCAGGTTACTGCAAAGCTGTAGAAACTCCTTACGCACAGATAGTATTAAGACCCATAAGAACATACTGGGCTGGTCCAGGTTCACAGATCAAGCAATGAGTAAGTGATCCATCCCAGCACTGTTTTTCTAATTCATTCTTCCCTTGTGTGATGTGTTTTTTTTGGTGTGTTTTTTGGTTTTACGTTTTGTTTTTTAATGCAGCTCTGGCTCTAAACCAAACTCTCATCAAGCAGATGATTCTATATACCTTTCTACCTGGGCCACTCCCTCTGGCCACGTAAGAATGATTAGTCTGCAGGAGAAGAGCATGTCTTACGTTAAAAGTCTAGGCTTTTGTGGTTCATCCTCTAACCGGAATTGCAAAATAAAGTTAAATTGTTCATGTTTGCAGCACAATTTGTTGCAAATATATGTCCCAATCGTGATTGTACCGAGACCGTGTAATGCCAGACATGAGGCCTGAACGCACAGTAAGACATAAGCTCTGCCTAAAGGGTATAGCGTAATTTCATATGTATATTCATGGATATACACTGGCTTTCTAGATTTCTTTGCTTTTTTAAAAAAAGATGTAATTTAAAAACAAATGTAAACCAGGGAAACACAAACCCTGCAATTTCACAGCTGTGCATGGTGATACAAGAAGTTTACCACAAGCTCCCTATCTGTGGCTTTTGCTTTCCCATAAACTGCTCCTTGGCTGGAACACAGGCAAAGGCACAGACGCTGAGTTTGTGCAAGTCGTCTAAGGATTCATTTTCAAAGAAAAGTACCTTGAAAAGCATTGAGACTATCTGAGTATGACTGTACACAGGGAAATAAAATAATCTTGGAAAGTATATGGAAAAAAAAGTCAGAGATGAAGCAAATTGGCCATGAGATCATGCAGTGAGTTAAGGACAAGGCCACTAATGGGACACAAACAGAAAAGCCTTATTTTATGCCTGTAGTTGTTTTTTCTGCTACCTCTAGTACATCCAGAATTTTACTATGGGTCACTGAAGTTCTCCATCACACTTTGCTGCTTCTTGCTGAAGCCACCATAGCTGTGTAATGAGCCTTTCCAGATACCTGCTCAAATTACTGCTTTGAGTTATGCTGTGTGCAGGAATGGACAGTAGATTCATCAACAACTCCAGTGAATATTTGTAGGCATTTACAAAATTCCTTGCTTCTTTACAGTACAACCCATATTATCAACAATTTAAATAATTGCTTGACTGACTTGGGGCTCTGTGGGAATGGAGGGGGCCAATTTTTTGCCTTCAGCAGGCTTTAGGTCCTCAGGGCAAAAAGGAGAGGGGTGTGTTTGGTTTTGTGGGTTTTGTTTTGGGTTTGGTGGTTGGGTTTTTTTTTTTTTGCCTTCTCAGTAAAAAAGTCTTCTGTTCATATAATGTTATGGTGTTTAATCTGGGACATCAGATGGTCTGACTGGGTCATGCAGTAGGCGTAACACCAGTTAGAAAATCTAGTGCTGGTGTTCGTTGCATCAGTGATGAGACTAACACTCTATATTAGTTGAAGAATTAATCACCTGTGGATCCTACTGCTATAGCACCTGGTGCCAGTGATTGGTAACCTCTTCACATTTATTATCGCATGGTATTAGGCCAAAGAGCCTCAACCAGCTGTAATCAAAACCAGTGGTAGTGTGACTGCTAATTTTACAAAAGGGCTTTCCTTATTTTCTAGACTGATATCATGGGTGATCGGGTTGTTTTAATAATGAAAAATCTGAATCACCAACAGCATTTTGAGCTAATAGCTTACCTTAAAGTTGTTAAAGGGGATGACATACGTTGATACTTGACGTTTAGCCAAGTATTTTTCTATCCCTATCCTAGTTGAGAATACATTCGGCAGACCCACAGGGTCCCTGCGTGGGGAAGCAGGGTGAGAGACACACATAGGTATTGCTCCCCCGCCAGC